AATCCCAGCGATCACAATCCCTGGGATGCACAACCTCAGTAATGCACAGCCCCAGTGATATTCAACTTAGCAATGCACAATTCCATTAACACTCCCAGGGATAGACAAAACAGTGACATGCAATCCTCATGCCACACAAGTCTATCTATCCTGCCACGCGTGAACTTGCTAGCTGAGTTCATGTTGGTCCAGCCCCACCTCAGGGATTTTTCCTTCTGGACATTGACCCATCATCTTAAGACCCCCTCAACCTAAGCAGTGCATTAAAGGGCTGTGCCTTTGCCTGCTCTGCTGCTGGCTTCCTCCTTTCAACCCTGTGAGGAGCCCTGCCCTTATTTGCAGCCCCCTCCTCTGCCTTCAGTGAGAAGCCCTGCCCCCTCCACCATTGTGAGGGACCACGATGCCCCCTCTCCTTTCCTCTCTGAAGAGCCCTATGTGTCTTCCTCCTCCTCTGCAAGGGACCCTATCCCTTGCTCCACTTCTGTCAGGTATCTTGCCCTTTAAACCCTTTTCTTTGAGGGATCCTGCTCCCCCCATCTCTGTGAGGGGCCCTTCCCCTCCCCACCTCTGTGAGGCTCCTATCTCACTTCGCTCACTTTTTGAGGGTTCCTGCCCCTCCCTTCCCTTCCTCATACCTGGCGACAGCGACCCAGTCACTAGCTGGTAAAGGGATCGCGCTGCCTGCCCCAGCGGGCTCCGGCACCTGCGGGGGCAGCGGTTCATGGTTCAGCGGAAAGCTCTGCGGCCAAGCTCCGCCCCCAAGGCCCGGTCGGGTCTCCTCCCCCATCCGAGTGGGCCCTGCGTGGGCGGCGCGGGAGGGCCGGACGGGCAGGCCCGGATCTCGAGCCGTGGAGCCTCCCCATCTTCTGGCTGCAGGAGGGGAACTCACTCTGGCCCCATCATCTGAAACACCCGTCCCCAAAGTTCCTAGACTGGGGCGGAGCGGGTGAAGGGGGCGGTGGATTTCTGGCGGGGAAGCTGGGCACACACGGGTTTTGAGAAAAGACCTGGATGGGGAATGAATCTTATTTATTTATTTATTTTTTAGACAGGGTCTCGCTCTGTCGCTCCAGCTAGAGTGCACTGGCGTCATCGTAGCTCACTGCAACCTGAAACTCCTGGGCTCAGGCGATTCTCGTGCCTCACCGAGTAGCTGGGACTACAGGCACTCGCCAGGAAGCCCAGCTAATTTTTCTATTTTTAGTAGATACGGGGTCTCACTTTTGCTCAGGCTGGTCTCAAACTCCTGAGCTCAAGCGATCCACCCGCCTCGGCTTCCCAAAGTGCTAGGATTACAGGCGTGAGCTCACCGCGCCCGGCTGAACCTTATCTTTTATTGCCCTTTTTCGGTCCCTCCTTCTCAGCCTGTTGCACCCCTCCCTGGCCCGTTTTTGGCCAAGGAGAAAAGAGATGTCAAGGAGTAAAAGGACAAAGTTGTCATGGCAATCCCCCACACTTCCTGGACCAATGGGAGAAAGAACAGGAGGGAGGAGAAAGAGGCCAGTGTAGTGAGGTGGCAAAGAACAGGCGGCAGGGATGTGCCCCCACTGATACGTGCCTCTTGGCTCCAAATACCTTTCACGACTTTGCGTTTGTCTTGGTCCCGCAGGTTCACAGACTCTACCAATCATACGCTGGCTACCAGCCAAACGCATCTAGTAGAATCCGCCCACAGCCCCTGCTCCGCCCCCTTTCCCAGACTCCAGACTTAACCCTAGCGGGTTAGACCCAAAGTAAACCCTTCCAGGACCCTCTAACGACTTCATACTCCTGGGAAAGCCTGAAGGAGAGATATAGTCCCACTCCTCCAACTGGGATCCCGTATTTTTGGTTGAAAACCCTATATTTCAGTAGCGAGAATCGCCTTCCAACTCCGTCCAAATCTTGCCCTCTTGACTTGGCGATAGTCCACGTACAGAATCAGCTCCATACGCATGGCTTTTCTAAGCCACACGGGGGCGCCCCAGTCCCCAGAACGACACTTAACGGCCAGAAGGACCGGACTCCACGTTCCTAGTCCCAGGGACCAGAGCTCAGGCCTGACCAGCCAGGTTCCAACTCCCTTCCCATCTTCTCCTGTCCTTTCTCTGCTTTCGCTCTAATGGGGCCGCGGATCGCGGCCTTTTCCCACGGAGCCTCACTGTCAATTGGCCCCGCCCGGCTGGGAAGACCCGAGGGATTAGATGGGGGTCGGGGTAGGGCTCAGATTTTGTTTTTCCTAAAAAAAAAAGTCTCTCCCACCTTTGTTCTGAGCTTGGGGTGGGAGTGAGGAAGGAAAGCGGTCGGAGGGACCAAAGATGCACTGAAGTGTAATTTTAGGGCCGCCTCCCTGCAAGCCTGACGGCCAAGATGACGGGAGCTGGAGACTACCCCATATCCGATCCCAGGAATCCCGCCTGCACAGGGAAGGGAAAAGGAGAGTAGGGAAGGGCAAAGGAGGGAACGGAAGGGGAGGGGAAGCTTGGAGCGCTCTTCAGCACCGCGGACAACGACTCCTCTTTTGGCTTCAGCTCCGGCTTCTCCGAGCGCTCAGCGCCGCCCGCTGGGGCTCGGAGTCTTCCTTAACATGGGCTTCCCAACCCCATTTGTCTGCCGGTATGAGATAAGCCCTCCTCGGAGAGGAGAGCCCCTGTAGTCCTATTTCTACTTTCCAAGTCATGTGTGGAGCCATCTAAAGCGAGGATGCTGATGACTTAGACCATGATTCTTGATTTGATACTTGTCAACATCTGACCTTTCTACTTTCCAGTGGTGGCAGGCAGGCAGTAAGTAGTATTCTCCATTTTACAGATGGGAAAAGTGAGCCCAAGAGAACAAAAGTCACACCGTTGGTACACTTCCATTCATTCCTGACTGACCTGAGGCAGTGCACCTTCAAATACAAATGTTTCCCTATTGTCACCCAATCTGATTCAAACAGGCAAGTGGGGAAGGGAAGATTTCACTAAAGGGGAGAATCAAAGCCAAAAGCAAACATTGACTAATGTGATGCTAATGAGGGCCCTGGGCCCTTACTACTATCAAGGATGCTAAACTGGTGGTGGGAACAGAGTTTATAGCAGAGCCATCCAGGTGTGAGGCACATGTAGCACTCTCTCACATCTGAGGCCTGCCTGAGTGAGTGGTTCCCCCTTTAAGGGAGTCTCTGCATTGCAACTAGGGGCTCCCCAGGGTGACTTGGGGAGACACTTATTCTCAAGGGCCGCATCCTAATCCTCTCCCCTATTCCCAGGTCACAACCTCACTCCCCTCAGGAAGGACAAGGATCATGGCCTCCTTCTACCTCTCCACTTTGTTTAGGCCTCAGGGGAGACAGCCTCCCTCTTCCCACTCTCTGCTGGAGTTCTTGAGTAGGCTGCACAAAGAGAGACACAAACACACATGCACGGAAATGTACACAGGGTGACACAGTCACCTACACAAACACACGGATCTGCCTATCAAACCCAGGAACATGCACATGCACAGATGTACTGGTTTCACATACCTCTCCAGTGTGGGAAAGAGAGGAAGCCTGGGTAGCAAAGTGGTTTGAGGGGGGGACATACAGGGAAACCACATGGCATTTCCCAGGCCTAGAGCTTCTATCTCTGGCTGGTGGGGAGGCAAGAGGATGTGTTTTCCTGGGGTTTGGGTGAAGTTCTCGAAGAGTTGTTGGGGGTTGAAGGAGCTTCAGTTGTAAGAATAATCTGAATATGTGAATTGGGCAGGGAGGGCTGACCCAGCACTAATCAAAGCCTCCCTACATGGGTCAGGTGCTGGGACCACAGGGTGCTCCTGGGAGCCAGGCTGGGCAGCTGGACACTAGAGACCCTCCTTGGGTCCCCCTAGGCTATTTGTGGAAATTGTGGGGAAGCAGTGGGGTACACTAAAGACCCCCATCTGCACCAGGAAGCCAGAGAGGCAGCGAGGATAAGACATGTCATGGACACTCACAGAAACCCACTGCAGACATCACCACATGGAAGTACACTATCAGCATCAAACACTAATAGAAGGCCGGGCGCGGTGGCTCACGCCTGTAATCCTAGCACTCTGGGAGGCCGAGGCGGGCGGATTGTTTGAGCTCAGGAGTTCGAAACCAGCCTGAGCAAGAGCGAGACCCCGTCTCTACTAAAAATAGAAAATAAATTAATCGGCCAACTAAAATATATAGAAAAAAAATTAGCCGGGCATGGTGGCACATGCCTGTAGTCCCAGCTACTCGGGAGGCTGAGGCAGAAGGATTGCTTGAGCCCAGGAGTGTGAGGTTGCTGTGAGCTAGGCTGACGCCATGGCACTCACTCTAGCCCAGGCAAAAGAGTGAGACTCTGTCTCAAAACAAAACAAAACAAAACACTAATAGAATCCATATAGTCTCACAATCATAAAACACAACAGAACCTACTTTAACAAATGCTCGCCCCAGAATGGTCATGGTCATGAAGTCTTAAAAAGAGACAAATTACCCCGAAGTGGAGTCCTGATACATTCTCGTAGTCACATGTCACTTCAAACAGCATTACACACTCAAAACGTATAGTTGTACATACAACAGAGACACATGGTCCAAACAACTTCATCAGTACAACCAGGGTCCCACACAACCTCACTCAAACATCTGACAATTGCATTGCCACACGCAATCACACTCACCCTGGCTGTCACCAAGCCCAGTGCACATGGCAACCAGCTGTGGGAGGCACACACATATACACACACACAAGAATGACAGGCGCTCACGCACGTAACACCTCCCACTCCAGACACCCTCCCAGCCCTGTGTCACACACGCCTACACCTGCTGCCTCTCCACACCTGCCCCTCCTGCTCCTCCCCCACCCCTTGCGGTAGGGGGGGACCCAAGGCTTTGAACCCCAGTGTCCTGCCGCCCAGACCAGCCAGGAGAGTGCCTGGGAATGGGGCAGTGTGGGTAGGGGCCAGGCTGGGGTCAGAGGGGTGGGAGGGTGCGGGGATGGAATCCAACCCTCCCTCCCGCGACCCCCACATCACCGACTCACCCGTGAGCTGGTCGTAGGACCCGTCTAGGTCTCGGGAATCGGACAAACTCTCCTTGCGGCCCTGGCCCCGCATGGCCCCCGGCACCCCCCTCCCGCCTGGGCCGTGGGAGGGGGCGCCGGTGGCCGGGATAGGGCCCTCACACGGCGCCCCCTGGCGGCTTAGCGCGCTGTCGGGGCTAGGGGCTGGGGAGAATCTGGGCAGGGGCTGAGTCTGGGAACGGCCCTGGGGTCTAGGGCCCACCCGGGGGTCCTGGGGCAGGAGCAGAAAGCTTAGGCAGCAGGTGAGCGCAAAGCCGGAGGCAGAGCGGAGCTGAGCAGCAAGCGGAGCCGGAGCCGAGCCGCCTCTCTCTTCCCGCCCCCTCCCCGCGGCTGTCACCGCCGCCTCCCCCCTTTGGCGCTGTCGGGATTGGCTCCCCCTACCCCCGCCCCCCACCCGTTGCAGCTCGGGGGGAGGCACCCGGTGAAAGGGTGAACTGGAAAGTGCAGGGAGAGAGACTAGCTCTCCAGCAACATTGCAATACTACCCCCTAAACCCGAAGCCACAAGCCAAGGTGGGGGGAGGGGGAAGGGGACAGGGTGGGGGGAGTGTAAGGGGAGAGCTGGCCAGAAACACCCCAGTGCCAGGAAACCCCGCCCCTAATTCTCAGGCACCTCTTCCCCCATTGTCAGCACTGTTCTGGCCAAGACAGAACCTGGGGTATGTCTCTGAGTCCCCTGTTCTGTCTGTATTCATGTCAGCCCCTATTTTCTGTCGTTCCTCCTCCCATGTATCCGTGTATGGTCTTTTGTGGTCTCAGCTAGCGCCCACCTTGTTTGAAGCCGGTTGGGGATGCAAAGGAAGAGTCAACCCAGCCTCTCATAATAGGCTCATCTCTGGCCAACGGGCCAACGGACTACAGTTTTCTCTTTTCTCAAGTTCCAGAAAGACCTCAACTCTCACCCACTCCGGGACCCTATCTCTGGGCCCCCTTCTCTCTCAGGAGGCCTCCTTCTCTGATCTAATGACCCCCACTGGCCAATTAGGACGATAAGGGGGAAAAAAGAGTGAACCAGGTCAGTTTCTCAAGACTTTCTTGCTCTTTTGTTCCCTCCCACCCCCAACTTTTCTGCCCCTCTTTCGTCACCCGTCCTGTCCTACATTCCTCATTTTCTAGCAGATTTGGGGAGTGACTGATGGGTTTGGGGATCCAGGTGAGGATACAAAGGAGAAAAGAAATGCCTGTGTTATAAGGCCCCTTCCTTTAAGATTAGCTCCTTTTCTGAAGGCAGGGGCTAGCACAGAGCTCGGCTCCCTCATCACTCAGGAATGGCTACAGGACGACTGAGCCCCACGTCTCACCTTCTCCAGGATGCTTCCTGGGCTCCCCACCCAAGAGCCCCCCACTTGCCATGAGGATACGGGGATCATGTCAGGTGGGTCTGAAGGAGCTGAAATCAAAAGTTTAGCTAAAATGACTCAAGTACATTTAATTTCTTCAATTGGCTTTAATTTCCAACCACTTGATTCAATCAGCCCGGCAGGAATTGTGGCAGGAGTTCCGGCATAAGAGGGGGACAAGCACCTGAAGGTAGGATAGTCTTTAGGAGCAATCCCCTGCTCCTGGCTCTCGAGGAGCCTCCATAGACCTGGCATAGAGGCTGGGCATAGATGGAGTACGGGCAGCTTTCCATAGTTGATTTTGAGGTTGATTTCTAGGAGAAATGGGGACTCCTGTTTGGAGTTCCTGGCATAGATGTACGTGAAGAAACAAGCCAAGGGATGGGCTTTACAGCGGAGGGCAAGTAGTCTTGTTAGTGCCCCATGCCCTAGACCTGCCATTGTTCACTTTATAGGAAAAGCTGTCAGGAATACAGAAGTGGCCAAATGGGCTGGCTGGCCAACTCAATACCACAAAGCTGGAGATAAGGGAACTCCCTTCTCCCTCCTTCTACCCAGAGGACAAGGGAGTAAACAACTCTCTGAACCCAAGTGGCCTTACTAGGGCCAGGAAACTCAGAGGAGGAGTGTCTATAAGGACAGACAGGGGTCCCTAGCTAGATGGCACTGGCACCTGGGAGATTACCTTAATTCTGTCTTTGAGAAATGAGTCTGGGCCACAGAAATTAATAATAATAATAAAAAAAGATACTAAAGACTGTCCCACACAAATCAATTTTTAATAACTTCAACTTGCCACCAGCTCCAGATCCAGCTGCCCTGGGGTTTATCACAATGGAAAACACTAAATGCCCCAGGCTGAGCTACCCATCTAGTGATCAGAGATGACCCGGCCTGTGATCGCTTAAGAATCTACATCCATACATGGCAGCCTGTTAGTGGATTCTCTGGAATTAGTGCATATCTGCTCAAGGTGGGAGCCAGAACTCTGATTCCCAAGGAGGGAAGGTATCCAAAAGAGATATGAGGTTAAATGGATAGTGGCCATGAAGGTCGCAGACTTGCTTTTGCTGCTGGATTCCTGCACTTATCCCAGATTCTTCTGGTGCTGCTTGCTCCCCACTATCCTGAGGGCTTCAGAAAGTGCTTTAGAAAGGGAGGATCTCCAAGTAGCAGCTATTTTAGAGGCAGCTGTAGGGTAGGGAAAGCCTACAGTGGTCCCATGCAGGCTTTCCAAAGGAGGCACCCACAGGCCAACTTCCTGAAGGTCAGGAGATTTTCCTATGGCCTCACCCAGAATATGAGTGGATAGAACAGAGGCCCTGTGCATGACGCTCACCTGGCCTCTTTCAGATGGAGGGCACCCTGCCCCCAGAAGGTTCTCTCCCTCCCAGGCACCAGACCACAGCAGGAACAGATTCCTTCCCAGAGGAAATTCTCAGGCAGGCTAGATGTAAACAACAGCAGGGTGAGGGGGTGGGACATGTGGAGGGGAGCTCAGCAGAGGCAGGAGAGGCTCCCAGAGGAGGGGGTGGCAGGGAGGTGGGGAAGCTGCTGGAAAGGGAACCAGCAAAGTAGGCACCTTGAGGGCTTCAGAAAACCTGTCAATGTTTATTTCACACACATACTCTAAAGACAATTTAAACCAGATTAAAAATGAAAAGCTAAGGTTGTGAGCCTATTGTGCTGATGAGTCAATGGGCTGGAAGAAGGTGAATGCTAACAGGTACTCCTGGTACCAAAACCAAAACCCAGAAATTGGTGGCAGGACAGCAGAGCACTGGGCAGATTCTAATCTCCAGTTTCCCAGAGGAGTCAACTCTGAATTTAGAAAACAGAAAAAGGGTACCTCACTCCTACCCTGCCCCAAGCCTGAGCTAAGGGTCCTAATGATTGGACAGAGTGCCAGCAGGGCCAGGGAACACATATTTCAAGCCTAGCACAACCCCAAGCCCAAAGGAAGCAGGATGGGGCTCCAGCTACATCTGAGAGTTGATCTGTTTTCAGAAGCTAAGGAAAGCCATTGACCTTCAAGGTGCTGGCATCACCCTGGTGCTTAACCTGCCAGCTCCTGAAAATTAGTCAGTAGCCACAACTTGTAATCGCAATTGGAAATGTGAAAGGCTATCCAGGGAGTCCACCCTGGAAGTCCCCACATTCCTGGAGGCCTCTCCCTGTGCCCACCCATTTCTCCCCCAAATGCGATCATCCCTGGCTTGCCCCTCTGGCCCCTGCTGTCCAACCTCCACTGAAGCATGGCCTTCACCAAGAGAACTTGGTATCTGTGTTTCTCTCCAACCTTGGGGCAGCCCCCTCTCCCCTTGATTCCCCAGGAGCCTCATGGGTAAGGGCAGTCAGTGGCTGTTCAGGTAGGTGTGGCTTCAGGAGATAGTGGAGAACTCCTTGAGCAGGACTTCCTGGCTGAGTGTGTGGAAGGCCAGGTTTCTCCGGACGTTGGTGCTAATGGATCGAACCTGGGAAAGGGTGGGGAAAGGTGGGAGGGCACAGGCAAAGAGAAAACAGGAGAGAGTTGGTTACGAACAGTAGAAGGCAGTGCCAGAGGCACAGGGCCAAGATGGAGTGCTAGAAGTTTCTCTCTTAGGAAATGAACCCTTAACAGCTATTATCCCTGCAGGCAAATGAGCAAACAGTTCCTTGACAGCAGAGAAGAAGAGGGGCTGAGAGGCAGAAAATAGTGGATGTGAGAAGAGCATCTGGGCATCTGGGGAGGCAGAAGGCAAAGACAAGAAAGGAGGGCTGAGGTTGGCCTTTGTCCATGCAGAAGGGGGCCTGGTCTGGTCAGTGGTCTGACGGAGGACCAGAAACTGATGCCAGAGGACTCATGCTCTAGGGCTACCTCCCTTTAGATGTGTTTCTAGTCTCCTCACTTTCCCTTTGGATTTATCTCCTGTTTTGGATTGAAAGGAACATTTAGAGATGTAGCCCTTGTCTGGCATAGATGGTAGGGCTATGATCCAAAGAGGCCAATGACCAGGACCAGATGATGCTAGTGAGTCCCAGCTTGGGAGCAGGACCTAGGCTTCGTAACTCCTAGTCCAGTACTCTTCCATACCAAACATGCCTGCCCACTGACAGGAAAGTCTGGTGTATATCCTTGCTGTTTGCCCACTGCTCACCTCACATGCTCTCTATGCACAAACTGAGAACCTTGCACTAAGTGTTGCCTGTGTCAGCAGGGGAAATACGTGTGGAAAAGGGGTCAAAGGGCCAAACTCCCTACTCTGACAGGGTTCCAAGATGAATAAAGCAGATTCTTCAAGTGATTCCTCCATGGGAAATAGGTGTGTAGGTTGTATGAAAAACAAAAGGGGGAGGGAGGAGAAAAAGAATTTGTCTGTCCTGGGCCCCAAAGTCCAGGGATCTTTCGTTTTGCTAAAAGAAAGCAGAAATTGGCCGGGCGCGGTGGCTCACACCTGTAATCCTAGCTCTCAGGGAGGCCGAGGTGGGCGGATTGTTTGAGCTCAGGAGTTCGAAACCAGCCTGAGCAAGAGCGAGACCCCGTCTCTACTAAAAAATTAAAAAAATTATTAATTGGACAACTAAAAATATATAGAAAAAATTAGCCGGGCATGGTGGCACATGCCTGTAGTCCCAGCTACTCGGGAGGCTGAGGCAGGAGGATCGCTTGAGCCCAGGAGTTTGAGGTTGCTGTGAGCTAGGATGATGCCACGGCACTCTAGCCGGGGCAACACAGTGAGACTCTGTCTCAAAAAAAAAAAAAAAAAAGCAGAAATTAATGAAGTTGTCAGACAGGAAGCAGACGAAAGGGCAGCATGGAAAACAGCAGGCATCTCAAGCTCATTAGCTCCAAACTGGACCAGAACCTCTTTGCTCACCTGTGCCAGAGGAACAAATATATAAGTAGAATTGAGTAAGGCAGAAGCTAGTACCAAAGAGCCTTGAGACATAACTCTAACTCTCTCCTTCACAACACTCTTCAGCTCCCACTCTTTTTGTTTATTGTTGGCTCCCGGTAATTTCCCCACATCAACTTAAGACTCACCAATCACCCCATAAAAATACTCTCCTCTGCTGTCTCTTTACACTAACGGCTTCTCTGCTCCAAACTAACACTCCAGAGCATGTCTTCTTTACCCTGAGGAAGTCCAAAATCCTGGGGAATGTCATGTCAAGGTCAGAGTTGGGCTGTGTTTAGCAAAAGACAAACGATCCAAAATCCAGTACTTTCATCATGGACTTGGAATGGGGGAAATAAAAGCTGGGCTGATGCAAGTTCTACCCCAGCAGAGGGAGGTTTGAGGACATGGGAAGTGGGTACAGAGGACTGTGTGTCCTGGTTTCAGTGCCCAGCCAGATATTTGTATAAACTAAGCAGACAGGAGGCTAAGCTTTTCCTGAGAGCAGCTCTAAGCACAGAGCATGAAAGGGACAATCAATAGGGACAGGCTAGTTCCATGGAGATGCTGACTAGTAGGTGAACTAGGAGGTAGAGCAAATGCTCACTGGCTCAAGGCGGCCAGGGGTGAGGGCTGCAGGAGGCACAGTGATTGGAACGTGGGAGTCAGGGTAGGGAATAAAGACTGGAGAACTAGATTGGAAGAGCACTCAGACCAGTAGTAGGAATTTGGGAAGAAGTAATTTCATAAGGAGGAGATGAATCAATTAACTCTCATTAGTTGCTCTGAGGACAGGATAAGGAATAGTAAGCCAGAGCTGCCATTGGGCACACATGTTAAACCCCATGCCCAGCTAGAGCTGTGCAAGGGCTATCTCCATGGCTGCAGAGTAGAGGTGGGCAATGCTAACTCAGGAATGTCTTCTCGTACTGCCTGGTCTGGACTGCTTTGGGAGAGAAGATACATACCCAATCCCAGACGACCCCTCAAGTCTTGTTTTATCAGCCTTTGGCAAACTGCAGTTGTTCCCTGGTAGCCCATCTGCACAGTAGAGCCCAATGGCTGGGAATGGGCCCCCAAGAGACACAGGCAGAGACAGGGGCGAGGCACTCACCAGCTCTTTGAAGAAGGCAGCTTCCTTGTGCTGCTCTGAGTAGCGCTCATACTGGTCTAGGCCATCCTGCAGCTTCAGTGTGAGTGTGTCATAGTTGGCTCGCACCACCTCCAGTACCTGGGGGATGTCAAGGGCCAGGCAGGGCTTAGGCCATGCAAATCCCAGGTCACTTAGCCCCACACTGCTGCTCTGTTGGGTTGGGTTCAGTGTGGGATGACACCTCCAAAGAAGCTTGCTCACTATGGAAGCAATTCTTCAGGCTTCTGGTACCACTTTCTAATCTCTTTCATTCCCTGCCTTTCTTGAACCAGTTCAGCTTGGTCACCAAGGCTGTTTACTGGATATGGTAAAAGAGCATGAGAAGAGGTGATAGAACAGTGAATGTCTGAGCTCACCAGTATCCCCGATACCATAAATGTGCTCTCAGCCCTATCCTGAAGCTTTCTCTGACCAGGCTGTTATAGTTGCTGAGCAATGTCTCCTTCCTTCTCCCTTTCTGGGAACCACATTTCTTCAGTCTTGGGATGTTCCTCAGCACCATCTGCCACTTGTTTTCATCTCTCAGTGCCAACGTGGTCTTCCTATCCAGTGCCTGGATTGAACTTTCAGGCATCCCAGCCTTGGGGTGTAGGGGACACTCTTTTAAGACTAAGCCAGAGCTTTTGTTCTGATGAAGGGTCTCTCTCCCATAACACCTCTCTGACTTTCTATGGGAATAGGACTGACTCTAGACTTCCGCTGACTCTAGGAACATTGGGTATCTGTGGTTACAGAAGGAAAGGACTATCATAGCCAGGCCTGATGTGACTTTAACTTATAAGACATGAATCAAAGACAAGAACAGTCAAGGGGAGAGGCACTACATCAAGTCAGAAGAAGTGAGCTGGGAAGAAAGGAGAGACCAGGAGAGAGAATGACTATGAACTCTGGTAATCTCGGTGAAGCTGATCTGCCCTGGAGGAAGGCCTATGACATCATGGAGAGCTCCCTACTTAGTAGGGAGCTTGAGGGGACATAAGTGAGCGATGAGGGACACTTAGCGTTGACAGAAGGTGGTGAGAGTAGAGGATGGGGGGAGGAAATAAGCCTGAGTCAGGACAGGTCAGGAAAGACTCCTGAGGGGTGCAAAGGTGACTCTGGATTGTTCCTCGCACCAGTCCAAATTTTAGCCAGGGCAAACTTCACTTGACAGCAAACACTGCCTGCCAAGAATTCCTGAGGAGAGGGAAGGGCTGGAGAGCATGGGAGGTTTAGGACCCTATGGGAGAGTTGCTGGGTTTGGGTTTCGAGGGAAAGGCCAGCTGGGGCGAGGGTCTGGTCCCACTTTCTTTCCTGCGGATACCCAGCTTCACAAGATTGTTTTGCCTGGCTGTGTCCCACAGACCGCAGTATAGGCTAGTTCCTCTGCTTCTCATTCCTTTTGTCAGCTCTGTAGGCCGGAAGACTGGTACCCAGCAATGGCAGTCACCCACAAAGTAATCTGGCCCTCTCATGTATGTGGGCTGCACTCGTGGCTGGAATATCTACAGCCAAGGTCTTGGCTCAGACCCAGAGAAAGGCAAAATTCCTCCAAGATGGAACCAGCTCCCAGGAACCAGGCAGAATGGAATATATGCTTTCCTAAGCCCTGAAATCTGGGTAGCCTCAGCAATGCCTATGACCTAGCAATCTGGCCTCAGCCTTATCTGAGGGGTATCAGGTGCCAAAAGACAAACACCATGCTAAAGCCAATTTCTGAGAAAAAGGCTTAGCACATGAATAGATGGCTATACATTCTGACTACATCCTGAGAGCCTCAGATCTCCAGTAAGACTGCCTTGCCTGATCACCTGGGCTTTCTCCTCTTGCCAAGGCAGAGTGCAAGATCTAAAGTCTTACTTAGAACAGGGCTTTTTTTTTCCTTTCCCAGTAAAGTTGGCTTTTGTCAGTATAGCCTAGTACAGTTTGTTGCAGGGAGGTGAAAGCAGAGAAGGCATCTGAGCTACTACCTCCTTGGAAAGAAACTAAAAGCTTGTCTGGACTTGGAGAGTATATGATCTCAGCTCTCCTCTTGTCCAGACACTGCCTATTGCCACCTCCTCCTTCCCTGATTTTTGTGGGCTTACTTCCTTTCTTCCTCTTTTACCCTAAGTTGCCTGCTGGTTCATCTAGTCTCTGCTATCTCCTGCCCTCATCACTTTCCTTTTACTCCCAGGGGAAGACATTCTAAATTCAAGTCTAGGCCCCAGTCCATCCCGGAATTCAGAGCACTAGGAGGTACTTGGCCTAGCCTGGGACTTTGCTTTCTGTAGCTTTAGATTTTAGGAACATGTCCCATTTGAGCCTCAACACTGGCCTGGGACACAGCAAAGGCAGCACTTAGGCAAGGGGCAATCTCTCAGAGGCTCTGTGCCTAATGGCCTTAGGCTTTACTATAATTTGCAGCCTCAGTATCCGGATTCCTTGCAACTCCAAAGACCCCTCCCAGGGTGAAATCCCTTTCCAATCCATCAGCTAACAGGCTGTGCCCAAGCACAAGCTTTCTTTCATCAGCTGTTGGGCTTGTGGGCTTCCTAGAACCATGTCCACCACTTTAGCTCAAGGTAGCATCAAAGTCAGTAAATCACCTACAAGTCGCATGCTCTCTCTCTAAGGAATCCTTACACAGGGGTAAGGATTGACCCTCAGTAGATAGGAACCTGGGTCCTGGCAAGAGCCTGATAGAAAGATAACTGAATTGGAAGTTCCATTCTTGCTATAGAACTTCAGACAATTCACCTAACCTCTTTGAGTCTCAGCCCTTCTCTCTATAAAATGGAACTTGGACTCACCTTCTTAAAATGACACGAGAGTAAAAGTTTTAAGTTCCTGAAAGTAACATACGTTTGATGGAAACACTGTCATCCCAATGCCTACGGAGCTACCTGGACAGCCCCTGGGACTTAAGAGTAACTACCTTCACAGTCCAGGAAGTATCTACCTATTTCAAACTGTCCCAAAGATCCTACATGCATAAATGATTCTTCAGCACAAGGGAACATCTTATGGACTCAAGTGGAAGACAGAGGATATATAAATGGCCTCAGTTTCAAAGATCCCATGCCTTCTTTTTTGCCTTAAAACACTTTGTGTCAGTTCAGACAAGGGAAAAACAAACTGGGTAAGGGTGGTAAAGACCTAAACACCTGCCACTGAGGTCTCTGGAGGGAAAGAGCCTGAGAAGACAGAATTAAGAACATAGGCTTTGAGGTCAGAAACCTGAATTTTAGTCCCAGATCACGCACTAATTAGCTATATAAATCTATACAAGTTTCTTAATCTCTTTGAGCCTCAGTTTTCATACCTTTCAAATGGGGATAACACTATCTACCTCATAAGACTGATGTGGGGATGCAATGACATAATGATTGTCCAATGCCTGGCACATAATGAATAGTCAATAGTGGTTACAAATTTTATAATTAAAGCCTCTTTCTGGTGATAAGGGGTATTTGGAAGTTCTGGCTGTCTCCAGATAGTTCTAACTATAAGCTAGGAGCTAGGGCCTCACACATCATCATTTAGCCCATGGGAGATTCTGGTAAAGAGGAAATTATAGTCCCTATTCAATGTGAAAGTAAGCCTCCCATAATGACCTCACTATTACCAATGTAACCAGCAATGCATCAGCCAGAAGTGAGAGAATGCCCAGTACAACTTTGGTAATGCAAGGGTATATAGGTTATACTAAAGAAAACCTGAGCCCAGAGGCTTGGCCTTGCTTCACACAGGTTGTGAGGCTCTTGGCCACATCAGGATCAGGATGTCTTCAATGACAGGAAATAGATGAGATCCCAGTTGAAGAGGTTAGTTCAAAATCGCTGCTAAGGTTTCAAACACATACAAACCCCAGTACAATATGCATCCCCCACAGGCAGTTCAGTAGCCTGTGCCCCATTTTTTTTAAAGCAGGGCCTTTGTTTTTTTGTTTCGTTTTGTTTTGTTTTAGAGACAGGATTTTAACTCTGGCACCCAGGCTGGAGTACAGTGGTGTGATCACAGCTCACTGCAACCTCGAAATCCTGGGCTCAAGTGATTCTCCTGCCTCAGCCTCCCACATAGCTGGGACTACAGGCACACACCACCATGCTTAGCTAATTTTTTTTTTTAATTTTAGAGACCAGATATCACTATATTGCTGAGGCTGGTCTTGAACTCATGGCTTCAAGTGATTCTCCCGCCTTGGCTTCCCAAAGTGCTAGGATTACAGGTGTGAGCCACTGTGCTGGCCCCATTCATTCATTCATTCATTCATTTATTTTTGAGGCAGAGTCTCACTCTGTCACCTGGGCTAGAGTGCTGTGGTGTTAGCCTAGGTCACAGCAACCTCCGACTCCTGGGCACAAGCAATTCTCCTGCCTCAGCCTCCTGAGTAGCTGGGACTACAGACACACACTACCACACCTAGCTACTTTCTCTACTTTTAGTAGAGATGAGGTCTCACTCTTGCTCAGGCTGGTCTCGAACTCCCGACCTCAAGCAATTCTTCTGCCTCAGGCTCCCAGAGTGCTAGGATTACAGGCATGCCTGGTCCCTATTTTTTAACTTAATTTGATTTGTGTGTGTGTGTGTGTGTGTGTGTGTGTGCCCACGCGTGCACGTGGGGGAGTGTACTATTTTGCCCAGGCCGATCTCAAATTCCTGGGCTCAAGCAATCTTCCCATCTCAGCCTCCTGAGTAGTTGGGATTATTGGGACACACCACTGTGCCCAGATAGTATTTTCTTATAATATTATGAAGATTAGAGATAATATATCAAATAAATATAAAAATATAAATGATAGAATCTAGCAAATATAAGGTATCAAATGAATGATGGCTACTGACATGAAAACAAGAGGAAAATGGCAATAAAAAGTATCTGATGTATTCAAATAAGATGAAATAGCTGGTTAAATGGTGGCCAAGAGAGCCTGAAGTTATCCCTAGCATCTGAGGACAGTAACATGTAAGGCAACCATACCTCTTTTTTGCCAAAGTGTTACCATAGGGACAGAACAATAGAATTAAAAGTTCTGGGCTGGGCCCAGTGGCTCATGCCTGTAATCCTAGCACTCTGGGTGGCAGAGGCAGGAGGACTGCTTGAGCTCAGGAGTTTG